TTCTTTTTGTAGTTTATAGTAATTACAAATTTGGCTCCAGAGCTAGGTAACTATAATACAACACCTCACTTATCAAGTAGACATTTTTAAAGTCAGATGAAAAGAATGTTTTGTTATTTTTACACAATTAGGTTTTTGTAATATCTTAGAGACCTTGTGAAATGAAGAAATCACACGCACCCTTGGAAAGGGGAGATGCCTGGCCCCTGCCTGGGTGCCAGCGCTCTCTACCAGTCTGGCTGTAGGGACAGATGTGCCCACCCCCATCAGCCTCTGTGACTCTTAAGAGAGGCCTTATACCCTAGTTAAGAAAGGATGGAGGAAAAAACTTCCTCCAAAAGCATTTTCTATCTGACCTTAAATCAGAATACATTCCATATTAAGTTACTGCTACTATTTACTGAATGCTTACCAACTGCCAGGGAAAAATGCCAAGTACTTTGTACACTACAATAATGCAATGAAGAAGTTATTATCCTCCCAGGAAATGACTCAGGGAGGTTAATTTTGCTCCAGGTTTGAAGCTACTAAGTGGTAGAATGAGGATTCAAATCCGTGTGTGGTTCTTAGATGCCACGCTATGCACTCTAATTATCTATCACATAGTATGGCAGATCACTTCTCTCCTTGCTTCTAGTTCAATTCGACTGAGAGGAGAGATAAAGACTCTCAGGATGCTTAGTAATTCCTTCCATTTTCTCATCAGTTGTTCAGCCTGTCTGAGGTTGATTCAGAACCCCCAACTCACTTCTCTACAGCTCAGTTTTTTCAAGCACCTACTGGACTAGGTCCAGTCGATCCAGCTTGAAAATTACCCTTTAATTTTTATTTTTCTCAAACAACACAGCATGCTATTACAGGAACTTTATTTATGATGGACTTCCAGCCTTATATCAATGAATACAGGCACCAATCCATTTTATAATTCAATACATCCTGTTTCTCACAGGCTGTTGGTGAACCCCTGGCTATCACAGAGGTTGATATTGCAGTACAACTTGGTTTCAAGCAGTGGCTCACGACTTAGAGCTCCTTTCATGATTTTCCCTTCATGAACCTCAGGAATTGCTTTAATGTCAACAACTAACCAAAAGTGAATGTAATTTTTTCTGTTACTGAAGAAGATGAAGGATATTAATCTCTAGGTTCTGGGGTCCTCAAGTTGGATACTGCTGCATAAATGATTTTAGAAGAGTTGTGATCCTATAGTTTTGACAATAACTTGTAATTCACTGCATAGACTAGAACAGTCTGGAAGTCAAATATTCTATTTATAGAATTTCATGCAATATAAAGTCTTCTCATAATTGCTCTCCAAAATGGCATCTTCTACAGAAGAAGAAGAAGAAAAGGGACAGCTTTCGAAGACAGTCACTCATACAGTATATCTGGGTAAATATTTTAAACATATTAGACAATATCCAGAAAACTGAAATTATTATGGATTATATGAAATAGAGGATGTGTTTAGAATAAATGTATGAAACAATAAGGATAATCCACATAGGAGGGACTGGCAGATCATTCTGATTTGAGGGCACTTTCCATAATTTACAAAAGCAAAAATGTTACCATTCAGTGAGCTGGGCATGCTTCCTCAGCTTGGGCTCACCTGAAACAGTTCCGAGGGACACAAAAGTGGCTGCTTTCCTTCTATGTCTGGAACCAGGAACTGTTTAGTTTTCCCTGGGACATTCCCATTAGGAAGTGAATAGTCTAATATTTTGGAGAGGGAAGTGGCAGTTTTTTTTAAAACCATATTAAACAATCTTTACAAAGATACGTGAAGACTACAGCATAATTACAGCATAATCCTAAACAGCCACATCAAGTACAAAGTACATTAAGAGGGCTAAACCTCTGAGGATTTTCTGTTTGGCCCCACAACCGAGTTTTCCACCCTAGGACATAGGTAAGAAAGCACTGACAAGCATAACACAGATGACACCAGAACTGCAACGCAATACGGAAAGCATAGTAAGCATTATCATTGAATGGGAAGATTTCTCACTTTTACAGACGGAAACAAAGACCATCAATATTTGCCGGAAAGAGAGCACAAATACGTGTTATAACTTAGGACGCTGAAGCAGGAAGTGAAGAACAGAATCACAAGAAAATGAACAGACTGACACACACTGTGATGGAGCCATTGTACCTTTAGTTCTTGCCTGGGCCACGGACTGTGGCAAAGCAGAGTTTATTCCCCGATTACTATGAGACACGCTTCCTTTGACTGTTCCATTGTTCCAGTACCTTCTATTCCTAAAGACTAGGTGGACGTTGTCACCTTCCCAGATACCATCTCACCTGAAAGTGGCCTCACTCTTTAATTATCGGGTGGAATAGCTGTTAAGACACATGGCACATCTTTCTCTCCGGACTCACTCCACTGTAACTAGCCAAAGAACTTTTATTTAATTCTGTGGAAGCACTTGAATTTATGCCCCATTAAAGTTCTCTTTTGAAATTACCAGCTGAAGCCACATCTAACAATTATGACGTCCTTTGGATCCCAGACAAATCCTAAAGATGGAAAATTCATTTCATGGTCACAGAACCAATAAAAATATGACTTCATTTCAAATGCCTAATTTTTAAAAAGCAAATTAAATGATTTCAAGTGTTTATAAAAAAATCTTTATGATTATAGCATTCTGTAAACACTGGACATGCTCTGAAAAGATTCTCTTACGTCATAAGAAATTACAGCTTAGACTAGAGGCCAAAATCTTTTCTTCTCCTGTAAGATTTGATTTAGTTTCAAATTTAACATTTTTCTTTTAGTACCAAGGTCAGAATAGGGCCTCAATATTTATGTTCTTACTCATCCTATGAGCCACAGAAAAAACAAGTGGTGCTGGTTTCCTACCTCTAGACTTGGTTACATAAATGACTCTGGGTGTGACCATCATGGATGAGTCAATCAATTAGCCAACAAACATGAGTCCCCACTATGTGCCAGGTAGGACTGAAGTTTTATAAGAGCAGATCATGTGGTCACATTGCTATTGAAGGTCAGGGCTCTAAGCTTCAAGTAATATCTGATACATAGCTGAGCTGAGACATACCAAAAATTGCCTAGAATACCTGCTAGGAAGAGTGTCCCTTTACTTTTTAGCTTTTTTTGGGGGTGGGGGGGTGGGGCATCCTTTGACATGAATTAAAGGACCAAGGAAGGACTCTAACCCCACCAAGACTTGCCCCAAATATTCCATGACCCCTACTGGGTATAGAGTCCTCTGGGCTTATGCTGTAAGGTCCTTGGGAGATCGTCGAAGGAGCAGGGGAGAGTCCACACCCGCAGTTTCTGGGGAGTTCTTACAACCTGGAACAGTCAGAAGTGAATCCTCACTCAGGAAAATTTGCAGTAGTGAGGCCTCTGCATGGACAGCTAAGCATGGAGCTTGGCACAAAGCGCCGCTTCCAGTCTCAGGGCTGACCATGACGTGGGTCCAGTCTTTCAAGCCACCACTGCCCTTCATACGCCCTATTCAACCCTATTCCACAGGCCAGACAGAAATTCTTGTGTTCCCTCATCTGTCTCACTTTCTACAACTTTGCTCATGCTCTTCCATCTGGAATACTTTTCTTTCTCATCTCTCTGCTTTCATGCATATTCTCTCATTTAAAATGTCAAAATCACCATGAAGGTTTCTCTCATTCATCATCCAGTTAGAAGTTTCTTCCTCCTCTGAATTCCAATGCACATCATCTGTGTACGTCTCTCTTCTATTGTTAATCACATTTTAACTTGTATGACAGTCATCTCTATCTCTTACCTTCCTTATAAAACTGAAAGGTCCAGATCTTATTGATAGTTATATTTCTAGCATGTCACCCACTATGTAATTTCATGGTTTGAAACTGGGTTCTGCACAGCCCCAAGGTTCCAGAGAGGTGTCTTGAGACTATCTGGTGGGAGCAGAGAGTGGACAGGGGCACAGGGAGACCCCCTCCTCTCAATTTGTGCTTTAGTCAGATGGGTTTTATTTTTAATTCTTCTATTTATTGTGATCAATATTTTTTTCTTTAATGATTCTGCTATACGATAGAAAAAAATACTGCAATAGATACTTTCAAATAAATAAATGAATAGAATTACACCCAATGCCTCTAGTGCATTCTCCTTTCAGATATAATGAAATAAAATGATAAAAAATAAATAGCAAAGGTTTAGAGTGCTTGTCAATCAAAGATGAAAGTCAAAACAGAGGGCCCTGTCTCCCCTCTTGTACTGACCTTTTTACATTAAAATTTGATAGATGCCCCCTCAAGCTCTGAATGGTTAAGAAATTAAAAAGAACTTCCTTGGCATCTGGTTCTGTTCTGGGTGTGTGTGTGTGTGTGTGTGTGTGTGTGTGTGTGTGTGTGTGTGTCTGTGTGTCTGTGTGTACATGAGCATACCAACTATGCTTTGATCTCAATCTAACTTCAGGGATATAGGAAAGAGTTACAAATGATGCTGATGTCTCTTGTTCCTTGCTCCCCTCAAATAAATCTACTCTTTCAGTCTTCTCCATCACTGTAAATGGCACTAATATGTACTCTGTTGCTCAAGCTAAAAATCTAGTTTTCCTTGATTTCTCTCTTTCCTTCACTAGCCACATGCAATTTATCAGTAAATACTGTCGGGTCTACCTCTAAAACTTGTTCTGAAACAGCTTATTTCTCCCTGCCACCCACTGCTACCAACTGCTGTGGTTTATCATTTATATCGCTAGTGCTGTAATGGCCTCTTTTCTAGTCTTCTGTTCTCGCTTCCCTATTATCCGTTCTTCAGGCAGCAGCAAAAGTCATGTTTAAACTTCTATTAAAAACTCTCAAAGCTTTTCTCATCAAACATAGCAAGCAGTTCTATTTTGCTCCAAATTAAAGAAATTTGCTCATTCTGATAATCTTTCATTGGGAAGTTATCCTTTCTTTAGGAAAGAAAATAAATTAGTGGATAACTTTGCAGAGAGAGACTGACACATTATTCAAAAACAGAAATGACTTACGGCTTCAGATTTGGGAGGCACTGGAGGTGGAGGTAGGGCAATCTCTGAAGACTTCACTGCTGCTCCCAGAGTTCCAGAAACAGGAAGAGGAGAAGTTGCGCATTTAGATCGGACAGAACCTCTAAACTGATCACATCTACTCTTCTCACTCAGGGAGCGAGTGAGAGGCTGATGGCTGGGATTGCCTTCCTCCAGCCACAGCTCTTCATAAGGAAGTTCTGACTTCCCTGGCATGCCTGCAGATTCTTCACTAGATTCTGGGAAAAGGTAGTCGCTCCCACTATCACCCGAGTCCTGATAGGGCAGGATGTCATGAGGAAAGGGGGTCCACTCTCCCCCCAGGTCCCTGCAGCCATGGAGGTTCACCTCGCTGTTGCCATGGAGATTGTTGCCATACACACAGACCGAGAGCCGGTGGAACGACTGCGTGAGCTCATCGCGAGCGTAGCTAAGGGAATTGGGCACATGGTTGTGGCCGGAGCACCGGCCCTTTTTGGGGCTCTTGCAGTCCTCATTCCAGTCAGTTTTGACGTCCCGGACAGCCCGTGAATACTCATCGATGTCAAACTGCTCTTGGCAGATACCCAGCCAGTGATGGACCAGGGTTTCGGGCCATACGTCTCCCTTTACCAGGTGTTCCGGGAGGCTAAACTTGGGGACAGTCAAGTGCAAAGGGAAGTGCATGGGGAGGATCTTGTTATTCCGCAGCACACAGCAAACCACCACTGTCTTGGTCTGGATGTTCACAAACTTGTAGCGGTGCCCCTCGCGGATGAAGTGGAGGTCGTATGGGTTCCTCGGCGGAGGGCTGGGCACAGTCACATTCACGGGAAGCCTGGTTTTCTCCACGATGTTTCGGATGGTGTGTTCGCCCTCCTGCATCTGAAGTTCCAGGGGACTTCGGGTGCTAAATCTGCCCTTGCACTGGAAAGGAAGGCTAATGCTTTCATTGGTCCGGTGATTCATGCAAATAAGGCATGGCATTTTGCCTTTTCCCAGCTTGCTGATGGAATTGAGCTTCCCAATCTTTTTGAATATTGTGTTGAGTCGTGACTTTTCTTTGAAAGTCTTTGCATAAAGGATTTCTGCCTGCCCCATTAGAGTGAGTTCATCCCCAGTACACAGGGTGATGTTGTAAACTTCGGTGTCTTCGTTGCATTCACCCGAAGCAACCTACAACAGGATAAATCGAATTTTAGGTCAGTTTCCTTTAAACTATTCACACGAAGAAGTAGAGCCCTTTCTATTAAGACACACATGGACATGTACAAAAGAAAATGCGATTTTGTTTAATACTAAATTTAGCTGCTCTATTTTTAAAATAATATTTTAGTGGCTAACAATAACAGGATGACATTAGACTTTTAAAAATACATTTTGAGCTTAAGAAAAGAGAAATTAGTAAAAATTTGGGGAATATAGAGAAAAAACACAAAAAGAAAATAACACCATGAGCCTAATTCAGAGATTGCTATAGTTAATGGTTTGATAAATATTCTTCCAGTTTCTTTACCGATGTAGAGTTGTCTATCATATGGATGGATTATTATTTTGGGACATTGATATTATCATTCTGTCTTTTTCAGTTTTAAAAATTGCTTTCACAAACACCACTGTAGAAAATTCCTCTTTATAACTACTAAAATTTTACTAAATTTTCTAAAATTGGAATTGGGATAGCGGACTTAAAAATGTTTTATTTATCCCTGTTCTTCTATTTTATTATACAATTCACTGGCAGAAATATTGAAAAATACAGATATAACAATAAATATTCTATACATCTTACCACTAAACATAATCTATGTTAACAACTTAATGTAAACAGAAAGAAAAATGAGAGGTATAAGTGTCTCAGAAATATAAATACATATGTATATACACACAATTTTGTTACCGAATTTGTCACTATAATTTATTCATTTTCCCATGTATGTGTATATACCATCAATTGTAATATTTACCTAACATAAACCATTATATATGGATATGCCTTAATTTATTTGACCAGTTCCTTATTGTTAGACAGATGGGTTTTCCCAATGTTTAGCAATTATAAATAGTATCACGATGAACATTTTTATAGTTCAATTATTTCCTTAGGATTAAAGCCCCAAAGTAGAATTGCATGGACAAAGCTATGTACATATGTGAAAGGTCTGATGTGTACTACCTATTGTGCTTCATCAATGTTATCCTTATTTACACTTCTACTTTACAAAGTTATCTGTCTCCCCATACCCATGCTGAATAAGTTTAATGTTTACTAATATTAAAGGTAAAGCATGCTTCCTATATTTATTCATTTTTTATTTTGAATTTCTTTGATTATTAGTATGGCGAATTTTTTTTTAGTATTTATGTATCTGGCCATTTAGATCTCTCCTTTGTGAATTGTCTCTTTATGTCCTTCACCCATTTTTCTATTGGGATGGTAATCTTATTGATTACTTTTTATGTAATGTGAATATCATTTATGCTATATATTGTTCCTTGAATTTCAATTTATAACTTCTTAAAGTTCTAAAGTTTTTTTCTTTTTTGTAGCACTTTTGTGTAGCAAACATTTTCAAAAATTTCCTTTGTAATTTCATTCTTGGATATTATGTGTCTATTAGTTGAAATGATATAGATCAGTGGCTCTGAACTAAGGGTGACTTTACCACACCTTCCAAACACTGGGAACATTTGGCAACATCTGGAGACACTTCTGATTGCCATGGCTGGGAGAGTGCTACTTACATCTAGTGGGAAGAGACAAGGGATGTTGCTAAACATGTTATGATGCACCGGACAGCCCCACAACAAAAAATTCTCACCAAGAACACGCATAAACATTCGAAAGCTCAATGCTGTACTCAGTTGGTAAGGCTATGGGGAAACAGGCACTCTTGTTTACAGCGGGTAGAGATGCCAAATGGTACAAGCACTGTGATGGGTAATTGGCAACATCTAACCAAACTATGCATGGGTTTATCCCTTCACCCAGTAATCCTACTTCTAGGAATTTACCCTGAAGACATTCCTCCAATGGTATGAAAATACACATTGACAAAGTTCTTCATTGTAGCATTATTTGTATTCGCAAAATTTTGGAACTGATCTAAATGCCCAAACATAGAAGATTGATTAAATAAACTAAAGTACACACTCAAAATGGTACTATGCAAAAAAGAATGAGAATGGTGAGTTTGATAAATTTATATGAAATGATTTCCAGGATATATTGGTAAGCAAAAAAAACAAAGTGCATCAAAGTTTATAGAGTATACTACCTTTTTGTTCAGGAAAGAAGAAAAAATTGTATATATACTTTCTGCTTATTTTTATTAAAAAAGGAATATAAGAAAAATAAGTCAGAAAAAAATGAGAGTGGTTACTTACAGGAGGTAGGGGAGGGAGAGACCTGATGGAAGGGACATGAAAGTGACATCACTGTGAGTACACCTTGACTTTTATGAAGTACATTAATGTCCTACATATTCAAAAAACAAAATAAGCAAGAATTTTAAAAAATCCTTAAAATTGAATACGAATGGAAACAGATGAATCCAACTGTATTTCAAATGAATAAACTCAACACACTGGGGACAGAGACAGAAATAATCCAAGTAACTTTATAATACTTTCTTTGATTATATATTGCCTGTAGGAAAGAAATAGACCAATAAATATTGTGTTCTTTTCAGATGTTTTACATAGGGGTACAGATACAGTGATTCTGAAACAACTTTACGTGTACTGTAGGATTGAACAAATGAGTAAATGTGTTGATATTTTGGGAGCCAGAGTTTTTACTGTGGAAGGGAAGGTAGAAATATGGCACGGAGAAAGATAAGAAAGAATTCCATGGAGTTGGATTGAAATTGGAGATATCAGTATTAACTCATAATTTTAAGAAACTATATATATATGGAGTTGGATTGAAATTGGAGATATCAGTATTAACTCATAATTTTAAGAAACTATATATAGAGTTGGATT